GTTATACCCTTTGTTGTTATTCTTTTAATCTTTATTATGTTATTACATTTGGTTTTTCTCCCCTTTTTTTACAGCATTGAAGTTAGACCATGCAAGAATAATCGACACCTCTTACATCTTCAGATTTCATGATGCACCCATTCATAGAAGACCATCTTTGAATAATTTGTGTAAGGTAAGTACTAAAAGAAAGAAAGAAGAAAAAAAACATGCTTCTGAGCACTTGCTTGTGATTTCTGCATGTTTTATTTTATGCTTTCTAATTGTCCTCTTTCTGTCAAATCTAAGGTCTGTGATTAGAAAATATTTCCTGAATCCACTATGTCTGTTTCTTAATCTCTGCGTTCTCTTGCCTATTCAGTTAGGTGCTTGTTCTGGTTTCTCTGTGATGTTCTGTTTACAATTCTTGTTTAATTCCATTTTATTTATGCATTGCTTTTTATCTGATTTATAGACTTCTGCCCTGTGTTCTTATGACAGTCTGTGCTGGGCTTCGAAGTCCGAGAACAGGGTTCTGCACACAATTGTGTAGATGATGCATGTGCTGCAATGAAACTTGTTCTTTCTCAGCTTGAGCACGGAGATGATATTATGTTGGTTTGCAAAGATGTAAGTTTGGAGAAGCATATTCAGGCTCTTTAATTAATTGCTTTGTTTGGATCCTTAATCATCTATCCTTTTTTCACCTGGAAACTGTAGGCCCCCCAAGCTGTAATGACCAAACTACTTCTTCACAGAATACCAATAAACATTCCCTCTGAAGAATTATACAGAGTCATTCCTCGAAATGTTAATATTGAAGTAAAGGTGATTATATCCTACGTCTACCTTGTGATTTTTTACAAATCCCACTCCATATGCTTGCTTATGTTAGACTTGTGCATGTGTTTTATTGAGATGAGAAGGGTAAGACTCGTTGAATAATGGATTTTACCCTTGCATGAGAAATTGAACCCACTTAGTCACACTAATTATTTAGTAATATATTTATTTTGGAAAAGAGAGGGTAGTTCCATGTATTGATTTGTTCTTGAAGGTGAGGTATATAAGATCACAGCATAAAGGAAGCTGGTGTCAGTTGGTAGTCACTCTTAGTTCATTAGAGCAGACTCCTTTCTAGCCAATTTAAGGATGAACTGGTGTAGAAAATTTTAAGAGAATAGCAAGATTTAGTCATCAATTGACCTGGTCTGCACATCCATTCCAATTCTCTTATATGCTGAATAATCTTTTGCCAGCCATCAAAAAATGCTCAAGGAGAAATGTATTCTGCATTTGCCATCTTTAAGACTCCTCAGGAGGCATGCCAAGTTTTTGAAAATCTGGAAGGAAGTGAAGAGAAGGTACGTATCACATGTGGAAAAGTACTTCCAATGTTGTGACTATCATTTTTTCCACAGTAAAATAAATGAGTTTATTGTTGTGGCGTAACAAAATTTGAATTTCATTCACAAATAATGTTCACTCTATGTAATGTTCATTGTTTGCTGATGTTAATTTAGACATTCTAATTCCATCTTTTGTTAGGATTCATCTGGACGACCTCAAAAACTGGTCAGATTTCAAACCAGCACAGGAGTAACTGCTGATATTTACATTCGTAAAATGGCAAATGATGATTCTCACAGTTATATTTTGGCAAAGAAAAGAGCACTCACTGGTGAGGAGAGTTCTAATGAATCCAAGAAGCTCAAGGCAGAAGAGAAAACCATAGTGGAGACAACAGAGAAGTCCAATAATTGCTTAGAAGAGAATGAACTATTGAAGGACAAACTTCAAGATGAGCTGTTTGTGGAATCCAAGAAGCAAGAGGCAGAACAGAAAACGGTAGAGGAGACAGTGACAAACTCAAATCAGACTGATGATCTCTTAAAAGAAATTGAGAGGCTGAAGCAAGAACTTAGGGAGAAGGATCTTCAAATCAATCTGCAGGATAAGATCATAGCCAGTCTAGAAAGGAAAGTACAGCAAATGAAAAAAGGCCTTTCAAATGTGATTATGGAACTTTAACTGGCCTGCTGAGTAGTTTTGAGCTCCCCCCTAATTTTATACCAAAGATAGGTTTCCTTCCTAACAGTAATTGTCTTAAACTTCCTTTTTGCATTATTGTTTTCATTTAGCTACTAAATCAAATCTTTCTTTCCCAGGTTTTGTTTTTGGTTAGGAACTTTGTTCTGTTTTTGGCCCCAGCGCAGGTCATGTATTTTTTTTAATATATATCTATAAATTCAGTTCTGTCCTGCCAAAAAAAAAAAAGATCAGGGGGGATGGTACAACGCTTGCTGTAATGTGAATCTTGATTCAGATTTTGTAGCATTACATGTCTTATTAATTAACAGTTATTGTTGAAGAAGTTTCTCAATGAGCAGGTGTTCGACTGCTGGAATTCTAATGCTATGATATGATTCACCTAGGAAAATGAGACTTAAGACGCGCAAATGAAAAGAGGTTTCAAGGAAAACCATTTATATAATTTCTGTGTAAAGTGCACTTATTGTGGTCTTAGGTGGTTGCACATAGCAATAGAACCACTTGAGATTTGCGTAAGTGTATTTTACCATATGAGGTTCGCAGTAGGTCTACATAACCACTTGCTTAATGCCCCTGCCTTAGAAGAAGAAAAGAAACTCACAAGTATTAATGACATCTATGTACGCTTAATACAAATCTTAGGTAATTATACTCGCACTTTGAAACCTTATAAATTATATGCACAATTTGGGACCTTCTGGCTTGTGTGTATTGCTAATGACTTAAGAAGTTTAATGGTAAGTGATACTAGAAGTTACTTTTTATTGTACAATCTAAGATAAAACTAATTAATTAATTTTTTTTAAGAAAAACGGAATAAAGAGGCTTGTGTTCCCTTGCCCCAGTTTCCTCCATAATTTCTCCCTCAAGTCGATCACCTTCGTTAAATAATGCAAAATGTTCCATTCATTTCAAAGTTTCAAAGACAACAGCCTCTATTTTCTAAATCTCAAAGAGCCCAAGCTCAAAAAAATATGTTACTTATCATTTTCACAAAATGAATCTGTAAATCCACTGCAGGATAGCCCTGCTCCAACTACTTCTTGGTGACTTCTAGTCTAACACCATATTCGACAATATTAGTATAAACAAATGATGGGATTTTCCCTAAATGAAAGAATTGAATTCAATGAAATATCTTGATCTCAAATTCTGTTACATCCATATGTTTTATAATTCTTCTGCGGAGGTGTTCCTCTGCGTGGTGTTCCTCATTGAATTTCTTTCAGCAACAGTGCCAACAATTCTTCGTTAATTTAATCACTTTCAAATTCTTCATCATCTCCGAAAGAAAAAACTGAAGCATCAGCAGCAATTGCTTTGATGTCAGTTGCCTCTAGATTGGGGATCTCAATTGCCGGGGCAGGTTTGGCAGCTGCATTGGTATTCGGTTGTCTAGAGGCACTGTTTGACGTGGCTTCCTCACTTTTGAGTGCTAACTTACTAGTTTCGTGTGATAAATTCCCTATTTGCTCATTTGCAGGTCTGGGCACTGCAGCTCCAACTCCAGCAGCAACTTGAGTCTGCCTGCTTTTTGAAGCCCCAAATTTCTCCTCTCCATCACTATCTGAGAATACATCATCATCTTTGCTTTGATTTGAATTGACTGCATTTCCCCTCTGGGCAGAGCCTGAGTTACTATTCGTTTCCTTGTTAGCAGAAACTGTTTTAGGTTTTGTTGGTTGAGTACCATCATAGTCTATCATCACGATTTCAGCCAGGAAACCGGGGGAGGGTAGCTTTCTCTGCAGAGCTCAGCCAACAGGTTATTATTAGAGAGCCTTGAGAGAAAAGCAACTGAATGGAAAATTGGAAATAGGGTGGAGATAAACTTCAGCATTACTTAATGCATAGGCATTTTTATGGCATAAAGGTATCTAAGAAAATAGTGTCGTTTACCTTGTCAAAACCATCAAGATCAGAGGAACTCAATATTTTTCTGTTCTCCGTCAGTGTTGTGTTTAACCAACTGAAAAGGAGGAAAAAGTTATAAGAGTGCTGATTAAGCTTTATAAGACCATATTTGCAAAATATGTCATGCTAAATCCTCAGCAGAAATTCAATTTCCAAACACAAAACGATGTATAATATGCATGATTGTCATGGTGATTAATGGCCACGTCAAAAATGTGCCTTTTGTTTGTTAACTGTTGGACCTAGAGTACATCAGAAGTGCAAATTCTTTCAAATGAGATTCTGAAACTTTTATATGGAAGTTACTTTTCTTTTGTATATCAATTAAGCAAAAAGATGGGATAGAAAAGATTGGTTGCTGACCAGTAGAAATCTCCTTGATGGTCATGAAAATGAATTTTGAAGTCACCAGCTAATTCTGTCAGGCCTGGCTCCCCTGGTAGAGCAAAGACCACCATGCCTTTCTTTGGTGCCTTGATCCAAAAATCCTCTGGCTGTAAAAATAGAAGCTTTAGTACGGTACTAAAAAGTTAACCCACTGTTAAATCACTAAAATGTGACCAAAGAAAGCAGAATGATACCATCAAATCCTTAGTTTTTGGATGTTTTCTTGTAGAGAACAGAATTCCTGAGGATGAGATAAAAGATCTGTTATCACATGTCCAAATCATGCATTATGGTAATTACAATCATGTGAAACAATGAATTGTATGAAGCATAGCTTTACAGGAGGAATGATGTTGGAATTTGCATCTCAATGTCCACAGCTCAAAACAGAATAATATGAAGGAAATAGAACTGCCATAATCAATTTGTGACAAAATGATAGGAAATCAGAATGAGCATATTCTACAGGGATACTTTTGGTGAGTAAATGAATGATATTAGGAAGCCCTTTCTTCCTCACACGATCATCAGTTTAACAAATGCCAGTTTCAGGACTTTTTTCCTTTCCATCTTTTTCTTTGGTAATGGTTGAACAGGAAAATTCACCCAGATGCCATTTAACCTGCCAGCAGGCAAGGACATACTGGCTTCCTGGTTTGGGGCTATAAGACAGGCATAGCATCAGAGTTCAAGTATGGGATGAATAGAAGTTGAGTTTGCAGCAAAAAGCTTCTCATAACCAAATCAAGGGAAAACCTCAATTAGTTAAAAAAAAAAAAAAAAAACTCTTGTAGATTAGTAGAGAATAATTTTGTAAATATGGAACTTTTAGTACATAAAAATACGCCCTTGAGTGCTAATGTGATTCTGGTTTTGATCAGAAGGAAATGTGGGAGAGAAGACAAGGCTCTCCCAGCTGCTACAGGTAATAGCTTGTGAACAAAGCTCTTCATGGTTTTTGAAGCTTTGTTTTGTAGATGAAAGCAAACAAGACTACCTACTGTACACCACCTATTTATCCCCACTGCTGGGCTTTGATGGGTAGACAGCAATGATAGTGTTAGTTCATGTTAACCATTTGCCTCAGTACATAGTTATAAAGGTAATATAATGTGAGGACTAAGACACAACAGCATCCCAAGAGTACATGTATAGTATCATTGAGTGCAGGAATGTAACAGCATACCACTATGATTGGAGATGGTGATGGAGGGCCTAATCCAATAAGGACAGTTGTGAAGCCGGAAACCCCTTAGCATGCACCTGTATAACCATAACTTCATTAACTTCTTAAAGGTCATATTAACAACTCTTGATAGCAATTGTAAATGTACCTTCGTCCAGGCTGATTTTCTCCATTGAAGTCTGTTTGGATTTGCTCAAAGTATTTTACGTACCTCTAAGCCAAAAAACAGTTACCTATGAGAAGTATGTAAAAAATTATCTAACACATAAAAGATCACAGCATTCTATGCTAATAACAACTGACAATCTGACTTGGAAGAACCAGAGCTCTGCCATCCACACATCTTTTCTGGTTGTAGTAATTGATGGCCTCCTCGGCCATTGGGAAAAACTGAAGATAGCAAAGTAGAAGATATCAATGGAATAAAAGAAAAAGCATATTTTGACTAAGCAACTGCAAGATCTTGTGAACAGATTTTGAAGCTCCACCTTAAGAAATAAAAGAAGACTGCAAATCATTAATCCTGTCCTTGCCATACCGGCTTTACAATGAACAACTACCACATTCTCAATGTCCTCCTTCAACCATGAGTATGTACTTTGACAAAAAGAAGTTATGAGGTGAAGAGGGGGGCAATTATGGTCATCAAATGGGAAACTTGCAACCTATAAAAAAGTCAGACATTAGACACATAACACATTGAAAACATCAAATATCAAGTCTAGAAGGAATATAAGGTAAAAATAACGTTGTTTTAAAAAATAGGCCTGGCAATACTTAGAGGCAATATTGGCAAAAACTCTAAGTTTTCCAATAATTTCTACATAAATACTGATACACCACAATACAATTAGGAACTCCATAGGAAGTAGAGATGAAAAATTCACCTTTCCCTGAAAAAGTGATGCATCATACAGCCTCTCTGAACAAAGATTGTATACTTTGTATTTCCCCTGCGTCCAGGATTTTAAGTTAAGAGACATGACCAAAAGGGATTTCAGATAAGCACTATAATATGTAAGACCGTGGTCACCCAGATGATACTCACAATGAAAAACTCAAAAAAAGAACTGCAGCTAAAAGTATAGAATGCCACTACTAACTAGCATGGGTGATACCTGATAGGAAACACCAGAACCACCTAAATATATTTCTTAAAGTTGGAGGTAATCAAGGTTAAACACACACACACACACACTGCCAGAAACTCCTCAAACACTTATACAATAAATAAATGGAAGATTCCATTGTAATGCAAGATGCCACATCTTACTTTGTGATGAGTTTCAAAAAACTTGATTACTTCTTCCATGTGATTTCTATAGAAGCCCTGCACCACACTTTAGTCCATTAGATCAAAAATTAACCTGACCATCAAATTTCAAGTACAAACCAGGTAAATTTTGTACCTCAAAGAATCCAAGAAATCCAGAGCTTAGATCACCAGCAGGAAACCCCATAGCAATTATATTCTCAGTGATATAAGTCATATCCAAGTCAAATTCTCCCTCCTGTATGTCATACACAAAATCATACTTTTCAGCATTTAATCAGCAATATCTCTGACGGTCGAGGATGATCGAAATGAAATACATGTGACTGGAACATCACCTTAAGCATTATAATGCAAAAGAATATGGCAGCACTAGTGGCATAAGTAGACTACCTGGTATCTTCTCTTATTTTGAGAGACAATATGGCGTGCTTTCACCTGCATAGCCTTCACCGCACTCCGTGACGAATCAACCAAACCTTTAGTCAATGATTCAAGGAGAACACCACCTTGTGCAGCTATGGAGTTTTCTTCAATCTTATCACCTGCTGCTGGAGGAGATGATGATGTTGGCAAACGCAATCCAAGTCCACTGGTGAGGCGCGAAAAAGCTGAAGTTCCAGCACTTGCTTTCTGCGAACTCTCCCCTGGCGCTACAGGCTCTGGAAGTCTCAAATTCCTAGCCCAAGATGATATGCCAGATGGAGTCAACACAGACAATGGTGACTCATTTTTAGAAACACTGCTTGTACTGGCCATTGGTGGAGCAGGAATGATATCGTCGCCCTTGGAAGGTTCAACATCAGTAGCTTTTGCAGGTGTTTTTTGATCGGAAACTTTTGCCGGAGATTGCGATTCCGATTGAGATGTTGAATTCGTTGATTCCGATTCCATTCTGGAACTCGAACGAAAGTCTTACCCCTAGTCCAAATACATAACAGAAAACGTAAATCGATGGAAAAACTAAATCCTGAAAAAACAAGATCCAACAAGATCGAATTGGTTCTAGATCTGGAAACGAAGCTCGGAAGTGGCGAACAAGATCCAATGACAAATGCAATCAACTCATGAATTGAATTCAATTACCCGGATTTGAATCTTGAGCTGGAGCGAACTCTCTCTGAGGAGACGGAGAAAAATTTGGAAATGAAGTATGAAGACGATCTTATCCGTTTGCCCTTTGGAAAGAGCGAAATGGGTATGGAAGGAAGGAAGGAAACTTTTTTGGTCGTTAAAACTAGAGGAAGCAATTGCAGATGCCCCACAGGAATTGGCGTCAGCAATTAAAAAGGCGAAAACCCGCTCTCTACGGTCACGGCTTAGAAAAATTATTACAGGCAATAAAAAGCCAAATGCATTTGTTTTTTCGTCGGTAAATATGAGGTATCGAATTTTATTAAGTTTTATTAAGTTGACATTTAATTTTATTATAATTAGATTATAAATCACGTAAATAATTTAGCAGTTATTTTTTTTGATTAAAAATAAAAAATATTAAATTTAATTTGTATGACATGTATGTAAGTGAGGTAAAATAAAAGATGAGAGATATATAATTAAAATAAAAAATAAATAAATTTTATTATTAGAGCTAATGCCAACGAGTGCTTTTGCATACGTGCATTTGTCTCCTGTGACGTGTAACGCATTAATATTACATATTACATAGTGTTGTTCTCTGGAATCTTTCAAAATATTTATCTTATTTAATTTTGATTGCCTTATTTTTAATTTAAGAAATTTAAAATTATAAAAATTTATTATGCAGTTAAATTTCACAATAATAATTGTTTGATTAAGGTGAGTTTTTAATATTAACAGCTTTTTTTATATTTAATTATCTTATAATTTAATATAATTTAAATTGTATATCAAACCATAAATTAGAGAATTATTAAAATTAATGGTTCACTTAACGTTGTAAAATTCATTGAATATGTTATTTTTCTTTTAAGAAAATGATTACAATACATATTACAAAAAAAAATGTGAATTAATTAGATAAATATAAATTTTGTTAATTATTAATTATATTTTTATTTTATTTTAAAAATTACTCTATTTATTTATTTTTAGTAATTTTATTTTTTATTTTATATATATATAAATTTTAGATAAAAATTTAATATATTATATAAAT